TCCCTTTAGAAAGGGAGACTTCCCAGATTTATACTAAGTCAGATAAAAAAACAGAAATAATCTCTACTCTGGAAAGTCAAATTTTGTCTAACTCTCTGAATTAGTAGAAATTTGGGCAGCACTCACTTTAGAAAGGGAGACTTCCCAGATTTATACTAAGTCAGATATGAACTCGAACAACAGCTCGAGCTCAACTGTAGACTGAATTTAACTAATTCCTTAATTTTGTAGAAATTTCGGCAGCACTCCCTCTAGAAAAGTGTTATTCCAAAATTTATACAAGGCTAAGTTCAGATTTTGAAAGTAACTGGCTTCCCAAAATTCAATTTTGTTTAACTCCCTAAATTAGCAAAAAATTTGGGCAGCACTCCTTTTAGAAAAGGAGACTTCCCATATTTTAACTAAGTCAGATATGAGAAAATACAAAGTTGAACTTTTGACAAGTCAAAATTCAACTAACTCCTTGGATTTGTAGAAATTTCGACAGCGCTTCCCGTAGAGAAAGTAGCTTGCCAAGATTTATACAAAGCCAAATATAAGAAAATATCTTAGAAAATGCAAAAATTAACCTAAATAAAAAAAGGTTATTACAGAAAATGCAGGCATTGACACTAACTCCTATGGCTCTAGCACGTGGCGAGCAACTAAAGCACCTACCTATAAAACTGAAACCCAAACAAAACTAGTCATCCCATCCAGTCACATGCAAACCAAACCACGAATGTAAGTACTTTCACCATCCCAAGTTCATTTTATATAAATAGTTCGTGAATCTTCAAGTTGTTGAATCCTTATACCCATCTTACATAAGACATAGAGCTGGATCATTCGTCATGGAAACAATGTCCAGCTTGTCTTTGTGATATACACGAACAGGTTGCACAACTACTTCTCTCTTCTTTTGGGCAGATGACTAGGTCATTCGCCATGGAAACAATGTCTAGTCGCCCTGAGCTGTTTAATATCCAAAGATTTAATACTTCTCTGACTTTGTTTTCAAAAGAAAAGGCAAATATGGGCAGGGGACTGAACCCTTCACAATAGAAACAATTTTCAGCTTGCCCAAACTATTTTCACTTATACTCTGTATTTTCTCTTTTCTCTTTTTAATGGTATGGCTTAACGCTGGACCATTCACAGTAGAAACAATGTCCAGCTGTCAGTTCACATGCAAATATACATAAAGTACTTTCCTTTATACTGAGTTTAATTTATGTGCGTGGTTTTCAGGCTAAACCATTCACCATGGAAACAATGCTTAGCCTTAGACCAAAAATCCTCCCTCAGAATAAACAAGAATTTAAACCCCTTCAATCAGGCAAACCCTCTAAGTTAACTAGAGTAGACAGGTCATTCACAGTAGAAACAATGCCTGGTCCTCCAGAAAACAACTAGATAAACATAGCAACCAGACCATTCACGGTAGAAACAATGTCTGGTCCTTCAAAAAATAACTAGATAAACATAACAAAGAGGTCATTCACAGTAGAAACAATGTCTGGTCCTTCAGAAAACATCCAAATAAACGTAGCACTGAGTCATTCACAGTAGAAACAATGCTCAGGCTTTGGTTGACCCTTCTAAAACACATGCAAAACTGTCTTCCTCCCACCTTCCCCCAGTTCATCCTTAGTCTACTTTCAGTCAAAACATAGATGAAACTTAAGCTTCACTCTCACGCATTCTTTCCATTCAATCTGATTAGGTCCTGAAGAGAAAACAATAACCATAGGGACAACATACGCATACCGCAATCATACTACAAGGAGATAGGCAAACATGGGTAGTAGTGGGTTATACAGATGAGGTGGTTTACCTGATGGTTCCCTGCCTCCATAACTCCTCTTGAGTTGCGGCAGAGCTCCCGCAATCAGTGGGTGGACTCCCCACAGAGTCTTGACGCGGACCTACGGATTGCAATCCCGCCTGCCGCCTTCCTCTCGTAACCAGGACTAGACTGAGAGTTAGAAAGAATAGAAATAGAAACTAGAGACTCTCAGATCCAAGAATGGTGCTCTCAGTCTCGTAAGAGAGGGCCTCGTAATGTTGGATCGCCTGAGGGCCCCGCAATGGCGGCTAGAAGTCTGCAGTCAGGCCGGCTAATCCCTGTTGGGTTCTCCACATTGGCTCCCAGGTGGTCCTCCCACCCTCAACCAGGTCCCTCTATCCAAAACTCCGCGTTTCCTTCGAGTTCGCCACTCCAAACGCATTAACAATGGACAAGCTTGTACTCACGAGGCTCCCTTTTGCCACTCTGCACCGCAAGATGGTCAACGCACCGGCCGGTAGCAAAGCCTACTCGCGGCCAACCTGTTGTTGCGCCGCTTAGTGCTATAGGCAGAGCGTAAACCTGCGGGCAAGCCTCCAATCCCACGGCTCGCTCCTCGTAACTTCGCTGCAACAGGCTGGTCAACTTTTCTGTCGGCCGACAAACCTACAGTCTCCACAACCGGTCTTCTTGTTTCTCCGGCTGATGGGACAAGCAACATACTAGCCAACAGGTAAGCCCGCACTTTGCAGCTTGTCTCACGTCTGTCCGCCCTCGCAGTGCACCTGGTCAGCGAGCGATCTCTTTGCTCCCCAACCTTACCCGTTCCAAGTCCTCGGCAACAAACCGCCGGGCCAGGCACCTTCGCCGGTAAATTACTCTCCCTCAGCCAGACGAGCCAGACCAGATGGTTCTTCCAACAATGCTTGAAAGGGTGTACCGCCTCCCTGATGCAAACCACCAGTTCCAGTCAAGTGCATTTCCCCGACTAGT